AAAAAAAAAAAAAAAAAAAAACAAAATCTACCTTAGAAATAAATGCGTGACTTACATATAATTCATTTGCTTTTCAGGTTTGTTTTGGAACAGTACAATGCACTCTCCTGGCTAACCTGTGACCCTGCAATCCAGGACAGACGCTCATGTCTCCCAATTCATTTTGTGGTGCTGAATCAGTTATATAACTTTATCATGAATATGCTGTGATCTTCACTTGACAGAACTGTGCAAGAACAGGACACGAAAAAAGGATATTTCACTGCAGGATTAAGTTGCAGTTATCTTCTCAGTGAAAGTCATTTCTGATGGGGTCTAATTCTTATTACTTCAACAAATATTGTTTTGACTTGTGGGGAGGGGCTATATAACCCTGCTATTTTTCATGGACTATACTGAACTCTTTAGGATGACGACTGATCACACAAAACGTATTATAACATTTTCGTAGCAAAAATTAACCTTTTTTTTCCCAGTCACAGTATTTGTGAAAAGTAATGAGCCATAGTACCCAGTCATGTTAAATGAATATTAAAAGCATGGAGAGGAAACATGAGGAACAATGAATTTCAACATATGGCTTCAGAACATCAAGATGTTCTTGTATTGGATTATAGTATCTAGTATTCAAAAATGCCTGCATCTCTTATTTATTGTAAGTTTTTAAATGTATAAATTGTCTTATATTTCTTAACCTCTTTTATAAAAATTTTCCTAGAAGGTTAATACTGCCTTCTTGCTTTAAAGCAATTGGTCTAAAATATATGTAATCGTCTTAATTAAAAAGTTGCAGTAGGGTTGCTTTTAGAGTATTATTTTTTTGTAAGGGGGTGGGCGGGACAGTAAATTTGTATTGTCTTGATGTACAGTTTAATTGGGATAGAGGGGAATATGTCCATACCATTGTGTGTGGAGGATTTACAGCTAAGCTGTAGTTGCAAAGTACATGTACAGTAATGAAGTTCACTGTGTTTATAAATTGAAAAGGTACCAGGTATTACAGCATTTTATATATCACACCTTTACAGAATAACATGATGGCAATATACAAGTGATATTGTTAGGTGGTTTAACTTAGAATAAAATGAGAATTCTTCAGTTATATTTTGTACTATGGTTTAGGGCTATGACTAATATTTCAGGCCATTTCCAGTGGAAGAAAATTAGTTTTACAAAAAAGACATTTGCTACTGAATGCTTAAACTAATTTTGGTGTTCGTTGTTACATGCTTAAATTTTTTTTCAGTTTTAGCAGTGGCACATTTAGGCATGGGAATATTATTAATTATGAAGTTTATCTTCAGGATCTGCTATAAGGTTGAAATTTAGCCTAGCTCTAGGCATTTTACAAATTATTTTAGGAACAATCACTCTTGATTGTTTGACTTTTTTTTAAATTAAAGATTGGGAATGTGTGTGAGAGTATGCATATGTATGGGTGTGTGTGTGCAATCAAACTGTGGTGTAAATAGATTCTCAGTGAATTCTGGTATTCAGACTCTATTCCACTAGTGAAAGAACCACCTTTTAAACTTAACCTGTTTCCCTTTGCCTTTTTTATTTATTTAATTTTCTTGGTTTGGACATGGCAGTCCCAAACATCAGAGTCTGTACTTTCCTATTACACAGCTCAGATTAAGGTAGGGCATATGCCAAGGAGGTTCTCACCTCCCTAAAGAAGGGACTTGAATTTTAGGGACTTTAATTCACCCCTTCCTTCAATACAACTTTTCCCCTTCTTGTTTGCACATGCCAAGATAACTGCTTCTACGCAGTCTTTACCCCCTTGAAAAATCCTTTCTACAGTGCTGCTCACAAGAGAGCCCAAGTTAGCTTCCTGCTTGCATTGCTGACTTGAATTCACAGTCGCCAAGTCTACCTATATTTCTTGGAAGCAGTCTAACAAAATTTCTATTTGTGTGTTCACTAATTATCTACAAGGACAAAGTCAGTTGTATTTACAAAACTACTTTGGTTTTTGTTTTGTTTTTTTACTGAAACTTGTTTTGTAAATACTATATGCTTAGATTAAATATCACTTTCTTAAGAATTTAACTTCTTCAAATTGTGTATATAAAAACATTAGCAAGCCTTGTTTTTTCTATCCAGAAAATACAATTGGTGACAAAAGTTTTCAATCATTTCTTGAAATTGTAATGCAATCCCAATGGTCAGCATATTTTGATATTAAATTTAAAGATCACATCTCTGCATTTTTTAAAAATTATACTAACACACCACAGATTATGATGGTATGTTTTGTCCTGTACTCTCTTCAGAAAAAAAAAAAAAATTGTCTGAGATTTGAGGGAAAAGATGCTCATTTGGAATTTCTATAAAAAGAGTATCCTTTTTTATATGCTTAGCTCAATAGTGACTTTAAATAATAAAAATTATATTCTCATGGTAACCATACCTCTGTTTGAAAATAGATTTTAAAAAAGTCATTCCCTGACAGTTTCTTTCATGTGGAGCCATAAAGAGGAAATCCAGTATATAATTCCTCTTTATCTGGGAATCAGGGAATAGTTCCCAAATACACAGGAATTTTTTCCTCCCCTTCATAATATCAGTTCACACTCAAATAGAAAGTTATTAAATAGCCATTAGAAAAGGTCACTAAACTTATTTCAGAAAATAAATTAAGACTTTTGTGCAGGATGATGGATCTGACTAATATACTGTCACAGACAAGTATAGGTAGTGTTGTTTTATTTAAATAGGCAAGCAAAATATAATACTTTATAAGCAGTGGATTACCAACACCTTGACTTCTTTGTTACAGTGCTAATGTCTGTTTTTTGTGCAGTTACCCATTACAAAACAGGGTGGAAGTTCATTATTTTGGCATTTTAGAAGATTAATTATATAATGTCTGCTTCCAGCCAGTGAGAAACATCTAGCCATACCTTTCTTATGCAAGCCATTCAGTTATCAGGACTGTGAATTAACACTGTATGAATAAATTTCTGTACACCTTATTGTTTGGCCAGAAGGCCACCAAGTGTACTTATATGTAATCCTTAAATTTTAAAGTAGGTGTAATTTTTAAATATTTCTAAACTTTTCTTAAACCACTAAAATTAAGCTCTTACTACTTAGTCCACTATCCTCAGCTGTATTCGTACTCAATTGTCAGTATGGCACAGATTACTGTATTAAAATATTCTCCTTTGGTCTTCGTATTTACCTTCTGAGGTAATTTTTTAACTTAATGTGTTACTACAAAGATTTGCAGATCTTTAATCAAGCACTATGTTAATACTGTAATATCAAAATACTATGTCGCATTATTTAAAATGTTCAAATTGAATAGATTAAAAGGAAGTTTTTAAATGCTGTTGCATCATATAATTTGCTACTCATCCACTATGGCATTGCATATCAATCTATTAATACATTTAATGTCGTGTGAGTGATATTTTGATCTGGGTTTCCTCTTAAGACTTTAGTTTGTTTAAATTAAGGAAAAATGTTTTTAACATACATTTTTATTTTGTCCCACCTCCTAAAAAATCAGCTGGAAATCTTAACCCCTTGGTTTTTCTTGGTATTTTAATGGGCCCAGAACTGTGGTTTAAATTTTTATATATGTGTTTTCTTTTTTGTCGAGTATAAATTTAAAAACTGGATCTGGGACCTACAATACTCCTCAGGTTGATGTATTCATGAAGTTTTAAAACAGCTTTAGTTTTCAAAGTAAACTGGATTTGTGAACCTTAAAGTTACTGAATTTAAGCTACAAATTGTGACATCATTACTGGACATGTCAGCATCAACCTTCTCAAAATCGCTTGGTCACTTTACGAAGGGGCGTCTTAAAGTTGTTGTTTAGCCGTGACATTTAATATGGTCCAATTGCTTTTCTTTTTAACGTGACAAAAAAGAATAAGGAACAAACACTATTGCTGCCGAATGCCATAACACTGAGTTGTACAAATTGTGATTGAGGAAATGAAAAGGTTTATACTTTTTAAAAAAACAAACAAAAAAAAAAACAAAAAACATAACTTCAAATGGAATAAATTATTCATGAAGCCTTCATTGTGGTGTCTCATTCTGTTGAAAGTTAGAAATTAATGGTCTTTTTAATTTCTCTGAAGTATTTTATTTTCAAAAAGAATTTTCATCGTATCAATGTGCATCATATACAATACAAGATAATTCTATATTTATATACATACCAATTCCTTGTAGACAGTTCAGTTTGTTATTTTCTAGTCCAAGCAAGCTACCTTTAAATATTTAAAGCTACAGGCCAGGTACAGTGGCTCACGCTTCTAATTCTAGCACTTTGGGAGGCCAAGGCAGGTAGGATTGCCTGAGCTTAGGAGTTCCAGACCAGCCTGAGCAAGAGTGAGACCTCATCTCTACCTAAAATAGAAAAATTAGGCAGATGTAGTGGTGGATGCCTGTAGTCCCAGCTACTCAGGAGGATGAAGCAAGAAGAGCTATTGAGCCCAAGAGTTTGAGGTTGCTGTGAGCTATGACATCATGGCACTCTACCAGGGTGACCGTGTGAGACTGTCTCCAAAAAAAATTTTTTTTCAGGCTGCTTAGAGATAGACATGTTCCTTTCTTTAAGCAAATATAATTTTTATACCGTGAGCCAGTATACTCCAGCTTGGCAAAATCCAATGCTTTGAAATCCCAAAATACTTGTTTGTTGCTTCCCTGAGAATCTTCTCTTAGACATTTTCTGCCAGAGTTTATGTGAATTTCTTTAAAGTGAGAACTACAGATTAAAAGGTATAGTGAAGTATGGTAAGCATTTAAAAACATTCTAGAAGAAATTAATAAATTATCCTTGGAAATTATCTTGACCTCTTTATACCATTATCACATTATATATGTAAATATGCATTTGTTAATTTAATTGGTAAGATGACTTATAATAGCTTATTCTAGGTATAAATGCTGCATTTCTAAAATCAAAATTGCAACACATTCTGACTTTGTTTTTTCCTGTTTAGTGATTTTTTATTATCAAAATATGCCTCAGACAAACTTCATAATAAGAATTGTTCAAAAGTCCTTGGGGCAGTTGGTAGTCATTATAGGTGCTTGAGACTAGAGAATTCGCTTCAGGATAAAATTAGAAATGTTTGAATCATACTCAATGCATTTGGGGGTAAATAACCTCTGAAATACAGCTTCTAGGGAAGCATGGACATTTATTGGGAACCATTACCCCTTAAGCGTGTAAAATGAAAATGTCCAGGCTTTGGTTAACATGGTATTAAAGGAGTTTTGCTCTAATTGTTAACTAATTGAGATAAATCGAGTTTCTTCTGAGAGTTCAGAAATCCAAAGGGCACTGATTTATTTGACAAGTTTGCATAAAACAAAGGAAAAGGAATTAGGTTTTTTTGCTAATGGCCAAAGATACATGGAGCCATCTTAAAGGTATTCCTCAGATGTCTATTCTGTTACTCTAGTTTTTGTGTTTTGTTTTTTTAACCTCAGACCATTGAGCAGGAAGTTACTCTCTAGTTTTCAGTATTTTCCTGTGTCTACTATAGGAGAGTTATCAATCTGGGGATAAGGATTAAAGAACCCTCTCAGAGTTGTGTATCTGTACCCAGAAATTCTACTGGATAGAAAAAAAAATTTTTTTTTCTGAGAGTCTCACTTTGTTACCCCTGGTAGAGTGGCATCATAGCTAACAGCAACCTGAGACTCTGGGGCTCAAGCGATTCTCTTGCCTCAGCCTCCCAAATAGCTGGGACTACACCCCTCACAACGCCCAGCTATTTTTTTTTTTTTTTTACGAGATGGGTCTTGCTCTAGCTCAGGCAATCCGCCCACCTTGGCCCAAGAGCACTGGGATTACAGGTGTGAGCACCTGGCCAAGTAGAAAAATTTTTGAGCTGGTTTTTGTTTTGTTTTTTCTTCCACAGTGCCCCACCAGAACTGTTTCAAGAGTGACCTTTTGGCTCGGCGCCTGTGGCTCAACCGGCTAAGGCGCCAGCCACGTACACCTAAGGTGGCGGGTTCGAATCCCCAGCCTGGACCCGCCAAACAACAATGACGGCTGCAACCAAAAAATAGCCGGGCGTTGTGGCGGGCGCCTGTGGTCCCAGCTACTTGGGAGGCGGAGGCAGGAGACTCGCTTGAGCCCAGGAGTTGGAGGTTGCCGTGAGCTGTAATGCCACGGCACTCTGCCCAGGGGGACAGCTTGAGGCTCTGTCTCAAAAAAAAAAAAAAAAGAGTGACCTTTTGTGAAGTTAAAATATTGGTTTTGAAACTTCCTTAATTTTGCCACTACCTACTACAAAGAGAAAAGAATGACTGGCTCAGTGGTTAGGATGACAGCCACATACACCGGGGCTGCTAAACAACAACAACAAAAATAGTCTGGTGGTGTGGGCATCTGTAGTCCCAGCTACTTGTGAGGTTGAGGCAACAGAATCCTTTAAGAGTTTTGATGCCACAGCACTCTAGAGGGCGACAAAGTGAGACAATGTCTCAAGAAAAGAAATTAGTAAGCATTAAACTAGACCACATCCCCAAGCCATGTAGTGTCTATATTATAGACTCGCATTCAGATTGACTGAAGTTTGGTTCTGTCATTCTCTTGTTGTTCTGAGCGAATCTTAAGTTATCGCTATAACCAGTTTTCCTCCACAAAAAAAAAAAAAAAAAAAAAAAAACCCCACCTGGTTCTTACAGTGTTCCTTGTCAGTGTGCGTGGTGATTAGCATATCCTGTTGGGCAAACCATAAACTCCTCCTTGTAACCAGGCATGAATTACTATTGGTCTTGTGTATTGACTAGCAACTATGTTCATCTCTGTTGCTACTGGCCCGATCTAGTATAAATTAGCATTATCCTGTGCCATACAAGGTATTAGATCCTTATCTGAGTGAACCGTTGCCATGTACCAGTACTCTTGGTAACTCTGTTCTCAGTCTGTTCCTTACACGGTAGCTGCTTGTGCTCTAAAGGTAAGCACAGCCTGAAAATGGGCTTCTTTCCTATGTCCTCTCCACTTAGCTTCTTAGGTACTCAAGTTCCTTGAAAGCCCCATAGTTATTTTGCCGTAAAATCTCCATCCCGCTCCACCATGATTCCCACACACTCTTGCCTCAGATCGGTTTCCTTGTATGGTTATTTGTCTTCACTAGACAACTCCATGAGAGTAGAAATTGGGTCTATTCTGCTCACCATTTTATCTCCAGAATCCAACAGAACACCTGACTTGGAGTAGGGCACATAGATATTTTTGAATTGACTTATTGGAATTAACACTTCAAACTACTAAACTTAGCTGAAGTGTGACTTTTGCAAATGATTTTAATGAAATTATAAAATTCTAACTACTTGGGACTCTGTACTATTATTAAAAGTGGTTGATTATTGGAATAGGATTCCCATATTAATAGGTTAGCAACATTCTATGTTGTGAATTCAGGCAAAACACTGAATCTCGAAATGTACTCAATTGTAAATGATCATAATAATAACCATACCTTTTAAAGCAGCTTGATGAACTTTAAAAGAAATCGCATAAGCTGGACACGGTGGCTCACACTTGTAATCCCAGCAATTCTGTGAGGCCAAGGCAGGAAGATTGCTTGAGCTCAGGAGTCCGACGCCAACCCGAGCAAAGTGAGACCCCCCCATCTTTACTAAAATAGAAAAAATTAGTCAGGTGTTGGGGGGGGGGCATTTGTGTCCCAGCTACTTGGGAGGCTGGGGCAGGAGGATTGCTTGAGCCGACCTAGGGGTTTAAGATTGCTGTGAGCTAGGCTGACAGCATAGTACTCTAGCCAGGACAACAGAGTGAGACTCTGTTTCCAACAAAAAATTGTACCACTTGCTCCCCCCAAAAACACTGAAAATTATAAAGATGAGCAGGATGACTGACTGTTGATTGCCCACATTCTCTAGAACACATCCAGAATGAACTAAGGCTTACAAGGCAAAGACAAAAGATACTTAAAAGGGACTTTTATTTATTTATAATTATTATTTTTTTTTTTTGGCCGGAGCTGGGTTTGAACCCACCACTTCCAGCATATGGGGCCAGCGCCCTACTCCTTTGAGCGTCACCCTAAAAGGGACTTTTCAATGTTTCCAGCAAGAGTAGGATGGACAGGATACAAAAAGTATTTAGTACCTATTCAACTTTACCTCCCTTCTGTCCCAACTCACCCCAGTTATTAAAAAAAAATCAGCAACAGTGTCTTTAAGTGCTAAATAACTTGCTTAAGCGAGAATTCAAACCTGAGATAATTAATTGATACCAAGGAGTTACACAAGTCTCTAGGGCCACATGAATTACATTCTCTGGGTGCTAAGGGAACTTGCAGGCATGAGCTCAGAAATCCTGTGGCGCACTGAAGGGGTCCTGTAAGAATGACAATAGTCAGCTTACTCGATTTTAAAGTTTTGAAAATTAGGTCCCAGAAACCACTAACCAACAGTATCATTAGAGGCTGGCATAGTGTCACTAAAACACTGTATAATTTAATAATTATTGTTAGGAATACAAATGTCATCTTAAGACTTTACCTAAAAACATATCAGATGGGAAACTCCTCTGAAGTGATTTACCTAAAAACATATCAGATGGGTAACTCCTCTGAAGTGATTTGAAAAACAATGCAATATGTAAGAAATAGGAAATCAACCTCATTGCCTTTTATTTTAACAGCATTAATAAACTGATAGCTTAGGGTGGTGCCTGTGGCTCAGAGGAGTAGGGCGCCAGCCCCACATGCCAAAGGTGGTGGGTTCAAACCCAGCCCTGGCCAAAAACTACAAAAAAAAAAAAAGATAAATAAATAAAAATAAACCGATAGCTTATAGGGCTGAACATTCAGCAGGTTATTTAATAAAGTTTCATGGTATCTTTAACTCTGTGAGACAAAAGCAGCAAAGAAAGTACTCTCTGGGGGAAAAGACAGATGAGCCTGAACAATTCCAAGGCCATGTGTTAAGTACTATGGTTGAAGGAAGCTTCTTGGGAGCATAGAAGAGGTATACCTAATCTAGGGAAGGGGCAGGTGGTTTTTCAGGGAAATATCTCTTAGTAACAG